AAAAAAAAAAAAAAGACATGCGGCAGCTCATAAGGAGATGTAAGGAGGAATACAAAACATATTCCTCGGTCCTGCGGGGGGCTGGACTTCTGATCTTCTTAGCTTCCACCCCAGAATGTGAGTGGGGCCTTAGTGTTATAGCAGACAATGCAGGACTAGTGGAGGCTGCTGGTATTACATTGTTCGTGATGATGTCAGCGAGATAGGAGAAAAAAAAATGACTAGAAAGAAGCTTCAAGGAACTGGTGTCAATCCTGAAAGTGGCCAGGAGTAAGCTGGTGGGGCCCTGGAGTGAGGAAATAATTCCCTTATTACACCCCCCTAGACTAAACGAGCAATATACCCTGACTATATGGGGGGGAGATGCCAGCCATGTGACATTTTTTTAAGCTGGCCGGAGTTCAGCTTTAGTTAAAACATTTTCAGCAACTGTGCTTGGGACGTTTAATGGAATAACATGACATGCAATGAAATCAAAATATAATTCTGATTGGGGATACAGCCAACCAGTCAGCAGCCAACTAGCATTTCTGTCCTCCCCCCGTGTGTAATCTATACTAGCAAAAACTTTCCAGCAGGGGCTTCTCATTAAGATAAACGAGATGCATAAACCACGACCACTCATCAATATTAAAAAACAATAGAAAAAAAAAATATCTGTGTATTCATTCCATGACAGGTAACTTACAAACAAATCATGGATATAACTGTGTCTCTCTGAAGGTCTCATTATTGATACTTAAGTGGATGAGCCTGGCTCCGTAGTAGTCAATGATGTAGCTCGATCCATCAGAGGGGCCAACGATCTGAAAGAAGGACAAATTCACATTTATAAAATGGTTTGTGTTAATGTATACAAACTGCTCGGTGTCACAGCCAGGAGAGAGAGAGAGAGAGAGAGAGAGAGAGAGAGAGAGGGGGAGGAGAGAGAGAGGGGGGGAGGAGAGAGAGAGGGGGGGGGAAGAGAGGCTCCCAGTAAAAGAAATAAAAAATCCTTCTACTAAACCAGCATATAGAATCTCCCAAAACAACAGGGTTTTCCTTATTTTAAGTTAGTGGGTGAGTCATGCAAATCATTCCCTTATACCGCTGGGTCACCTGAGCTGCTGGTTTAAAGCACAGATACAATCCAATAACATAAAGCCATTTATTCTAAACTGCATACGGCTTTTTCAGGCTTGTTGGCCATCATCACTGCTCTGTATGGATATCGTTGATACTCTGGAGCAGGACTTGGGAAGCAATCAGAAGTATAACTAGACAGGTTATGGTGAGGAGGAACTAAAAGGCTCAAATAGAGTTTAAAAAATAAATACTGCTTGAAGCTGAACTCCAGACAGATAAAAACACGCAGATGAATGCAAACATTTACTAATTAGAACATCTTTATATGAAAGCAAAGTACCTGAATATGGCTTGGTATCAGCCTGTACAACAGAGCTCTGACCAGGTAAGGGAGAAGAAGTACAAAGAGCCAATCGGTTCTGCAGCAGTGCAAGGAGCATGCTGACAGCAGGAGAGCAGAGTAATCCAAGAGAGAGAGATGAGGTCCTCACTCTGCTGCTGCTTCTTCTTTCACCGTTCAGTCACAAGACCTGTAAGAGTTACTGTACTGCAGCAGAGCCTCCCATACTGCCAGACAGGACTGTGCTGTGTGGCAGAGCTTTCATATATATTGTATGTATTTTATTTGTATATTTAGCAGTTTGCCTGGAGTTCAGCTTTTAGAAACAGCCCGTGTTTATCATTCAGGTGACATAATATTATTATATTACATACACATATACTGTATATCATGTATATATTATATAATGTCTCTTATTGTGTCCCAGTTATTGATAAATAAACTCTGTTTTGTTATGCGGTGCTGAGTAAGCACCATGGGAAACGGAGACCAGCAGAAAGCTGAATTCCAGAATCTGTGTGGCCGGCTCTATTTCTAGTGCAGCGTACACACAGGCGGCTCTGTGCAGGGCTCCTGGACCCTCTACAGACATCTTGGCTGCTGACCGCAGGAACACATTTAAATGCCACTGTAATTCCCTCTAACCATCTTATTCAGTGCACAATGACGGCAGAATCCTGAAACCTGCCATTATCTTCTTAGAGAAATGCGATCTCTGCTGCTCGGGCTTCCTTATGGCTTTTTGCAAAACCTCTTTCTGTCTGTTTTGGACTGAATTCTGAGACTGCAGCCCAGGAAGCAAGATGTCAGAGGCAATATTTATGCTAATTTAAATTACAAGCGTTAACATCTGACGGATTATATTTAGTGTGTCTGATTTACAATCGGAAAATATTCCTTAAAAGGAGAACTATGGGGTTAAGGCTTTTCCCCATAGTTCTCCTTAGGGTAACGGGAGGACACAAACTAGCGTCCTCCCGTCACCCTAGGCTCAGTATACCGCATACAGTATACAGTACTGTATACTGAGACGCCGCAGTATACCGCGAGCTGCTGCTCGCGGTATACTAAGATGCCGCAGCTAAAGCGGATCCCGACAATTATGTCTGGATCCACCCAGCTGCGTGACTGACAGCTGGCTCTGCCTATCTAGAGGCAGAGCCAGCTGTACCCGCCCCCTCCCCTGTCCGTTCCGCCAGTCAGCGCTGGAGGATCGGAGCGGGGAGGGGGGAATCCAGCCCCTCCCCTGTCATGGCAGAGAGCCGTGACAGGATCGAGAGGTGAGCGAACGCCGGTATGTGTTCTCTCACCTCCCGATCTACTGAGCCGACGTGTGACAGTTTCATTGTCACAGGTCGGCTGGAACTATGAGGTGAGTGAAAAGCACTCACCTCATAGTTCTCCTTTAAAGGGCCCCCATCACCTCGCACATTCAGGGCAAAAAGATAGGGTCTCTTTTAAAGGCCACCCCATGACCCAGTTCTGCTCGTCTTTGCAATGCTTCGGCCGCTCCTTCCTCCGATGTAGGCGCTGCAACACACCAGGCGTCGGAGTGATGACACCACCCCCTCTGTCATTAGGCCCCAGCACTGCATCAAGGGGAAAAAAAAAAAAATCACATGCCCCAGCTAACCTGAAAAGCACTGATTGTTTTGTTGGTGGCGGCAAGCGGTTGAGTTGACAGTAGACCACGCTGTCATTGGCTCTGCCCGGCGTCCTGCCCAGCTCTGCTCGTCCTTGCTATTCATATATTTTAGCTGCATGTGGAAACACTGTACTGCAGCCCCTGCACTTAGGATCCAGCATAACGCTTGCAAATGACAAGTGCTCCTTGGTCATGGTCACATGACCAATGAGAAGCGCTTCTTACTTCCAGGATCTGGCCCCAGGCTCAGAAGCACTTCTCACTAGTCAGTGTGGTCATGTGACCAAGCTGACCAATGAGCGCTCACCACTTGTGAGTGTTATGCTGGATCCTCAGTGCGGGCATACAGGTAAATGGTACGAAAAACAGGGATGGGCAGAGGTGGTGGAATGCTCCGGGTAAATTACCCTTTAATACAAAAAATGCCTTCTATGACATATTTTATTAGAGAAAAGAAAAAGTACTCTGTCTTTTGTAAGCAACTCACCTGCATAGCGATGAGGATGAAGTCAATCAGGCTGCCAATTCCACAGAACCCGACTGTGCAAAACTTCAGCATTCCTGGATGAAAAGCAAAATATATGTTTGTGTACCCAAAATCAGCAGCTTTCCCATAACCAGGACACCAATGTACTATGGAGCCACCTATATGTTAGCTGCCACTCTAGACAAATGGAGGCACCAAAATACCAGTTTTCTCCTATTAAAGTCTGGGACAGCAATTATGCTCTTTTGCTGTGTTACAAAATAGGAGTCTATACCATATCTCCAAAGTGTTGAACCGGTTGTGGACACTGTGTGCACTACTACACAGGCCAAAAAAAACTTAACTGAAGTGTACAGGGCGTGTGTGGTATGCCCTGTCCCTTCTCGGACTTGCTGGTTATTCCTAAATGTCAAAATGACAGCCGGGGGAAGGGGGGCAGGTTTGCTTTGCAAATACAGGAGCTGTAAAAGCCACCGCTGTAATAAAATGGATCATCTGACACAGTGTTTACGGATGGAGATGTGCAAAGTAACATTGCTACTTTTGTATCCACTCTGTTTTAAGATGGAAGGGATGAGCTTCAATCTGCTTATTATGTCATTTGAAGCAACCTGACAAGTACAAAAAAAAATACATTTTATTTCCCCCTTTAACGACGTGTGCTGTACGTCGCTGGCTGCCGGCCGCTGTACACTGACTCTCTGCAGACTTTGTTTACATATGTATAGACTGTCGGTTTTACACTGCAAGTAATTTTGGAAGGGGCCTTCCAACACCCTTGCCTTGCATCCAGGGCTCCATTACCTCTCATGCAGGCCTGGAACGGGCATCACAGGTGGTGGCGGGAAGTGGGGAGAGAGACCGGCTAAAGGTGGCCATACACTTTACAACCATCGCAAGACCTTAGTCTTGCGATGGTTGTAAAGTACTTAAAAAAACGTACGATCTGCCCATCTTGGACAGGCAGATCGTACTTGCGATCAT